CCGTGTGTGTGCAAGCACACAAGTATTGCAGCAAATGTAAGATATTTCATGTATGAAAGTGCAATACAAAACGTTTGCACCATTCTATTGTGTGACCGATTGTAAGATGAATCCACAGTTTTCACATTCCAAGAGGAGAAGGGTGCATGTGATAGGGACGGTGCAGCAACATTGTTTCCTGATGTTTCTGATCTTCCCCACTCTGTGTGAGCTAGCAATGGGAATGTGCAATTGTGGCTACATCCTCGTCTTCCTCCTAAGGGCTTGTGAACTTGGCCAGTTTGTTTTCTGCTCCCAGTTCCACTTTGCTTTGCTCACTCCCCAGTTTTTCTTCATAACCAGAGATGGTCAAGTTAATTTCCATGGCTATCATATGGTCAGAGAGGTACTTTTAACTCCAGAATTCTGTGGAATATGAGAAAAGGCAAGGAAAAAGGAGTCGCATTTCTACCGATGCTATTTCAATGCAGGTTCTAAAATTCCTGTGAGTTGTCTGACAACAATTTTGCTACTGAAATCAACTCCCTTATTCCAAATTAGTTTTCCAGCTTGTGAGACTACAGGCAGGAGAAAAATCCCTTATTGTCCCTTCTGTACTAGATATAGGAGCTGCCTGTCTCCTGGAAAAACAACTACAAAGAACACTTTGCATTTATATGGCACTTGTGATGTAGTAAAGTACCCCAAAGCGTTCCACGAGAGGTTAACCAGACAAAAATTTACATGGAGCCAGGAGACAAAAATGAAATAGAAAGAAAATGATATTATTAAGCCAGAGTGTGTTCAGACGAGGTTTACCGGGATGTTGCCGGGAATGGGAAGGTTTGAGTTCTAAGGAAAGGCTGGATAGGCTGGGACTTTTTCACTGGAGCATGGGAGGTTGAGATGTGACCTCACAGATGTTTATAAAATCATGAGGGATATAGATAAGGTTAATGGCAGGTGTCTTTTCTCTAGAGTGGGGGATTTCAAGACCAGGGGGCACATTTTTAATGTGAGAGGAGAGAGATTTAAAAATCACATGAGGGGAAATTTTTTTATACAGGGGGTGGTTCGTGTGTGGAACGAATTTCCTGAGGAAGTGGTTGATGCGGACACAATTACAAAGTTTAAAAGACATTTGGATATGTACATGATTAGGAAAGTTCAGAGGGATAGGGGCTGGGGCAGGCAGATGGGACTAGTTTAGTTTGGGATTATGTTCGGCATGGACTGAAGGGTCTGTTTCCGTGCTGTGTGACTCTATGATACTCTATAAAATGTTTTATGGAGTATTTTGCAGGAGGAAAGGAAAGTAGAAGATTGGAGCAGTTTACTGAGGGAATTCTGAAGCTATAGGGTTCAGGATGGCTGGTGTCCTGGCCACCTTTTGGTGAGCCAAGGATGTTTCCCAAGATGCCAAGAGTAGATGAGACAGAGTTCCCTTGGAGAGTTGTAAAGCATGTGGATGTTACAGGGATATGGGGAAGTCAGGCTGTGGGAAGAATTTCATCTCTGAGGGTTGAGGGAGCTCCATCTGCTGGTTGAACTCACACGTTCCTGATTGCGAAGTCTGACACTAAACGCGTCACAGTTTCATCAATACCCCAATTACTCTCGTGAAATAGGCGACCAAAGGCTCTCTCTCTAATGCCTCTGTATCACCCTTCATAATTGTTTGTCTTCCTTTCCATTTCTCAGTGGTCTGCAAACTATTGTAGGTCAGTGAATGGAGGGACAATGGGAGAAGTGAGCTGGTCATGGGTGGCAGAACTTTGGATGATTTCAAGATGGCCAAGAGTGGAGAAAAATTCTAGGGGAAGCTAAGAGAGAGTAAAACAGGACACCCTCAGTTGGTTGCGGGGTGGGGGGGGTGGATAGGAAGTGAGGGAGGTAGAAAGAAAGCGAAGGAAACAGTCACAGGCAGACAAGGAAAGAAGGAAAATTTTGATTTGATTTGATTTGATTTATTATTGTCACATGTACCTAGGTACAGTGAAAAGTTTTGTTTTTCATGCAGTACAGGCAGATCATACCATACAAGGATTGAACAGAGGCGAGGAATACCAAGTTACAAAATGTGAAAGTTTGAATAACAAAGAGAAGGTCATGATTCTGTAGACTTCTTTACTGCAGAGGGCTGTCAAGGCTGGGTCATTGAGTACGTTCAAGACTGAGACAGATTTTAATCAGGAAGGGAATCAAGGACTATGGGAAAAAGACAGGAACGTGGAATTGACGATTATCAGATTAGCCATGATCTCATGGTGGAACGGACTCGATGGATCAAATGCCCGATTTCTGCTCCTATGTCATAGAATCATAGAGTCATAGAGGTCTACAATGTCTTGTTGTCTTATGGCGTTAAAACAATGCACAGAAACTGAGAAATGGAAAGGAAGACAAGCAATTATGAAGGGTGATACAGAGGCATTAGAGAGAGAGCCTTTGGTCGCCTATTTTGTGAGAGTAATTGGGATATTGATGAAACTGTGATGTGTTTAGTGTCAGGTTTCACAATCAGGAGCATGTGTGAATTGAGCCAGCAGATGGAGCTCCCTCAACCCCCTGTTAAATGAAAGTGAATTGAATTCATACGCAGTAGACACTCAGTAATCCAGGGCCATAAGCACAGCAAATGGGATCAAATCAGCATTCGCTGACCACAGAATTCACCTTAATGATTGCTCAGTAAATCAAAATGAATGCACTGCTCTCAAAAATCGCCTGTAGATTTCACCTTGTTCTAAATGGTCATCACTCAATAAATGTGTTTGACTGGAATTTGCTTTTGTGAGATTTAATCTTTTTCTTTTATGAGATGTGAGCAGTCATGATCAGACCATTTTCCCCCTGAATGTGGTGTTCAGCTGTTCGCTGTTTGATTATATGTGTTTGGTATCTGTTCTCTGACTGTGGTTAGTTAAGCAGAGGGCTGGTTACTTAGAAAGAGAGACTGAACTGAGACTTAAAAACAGAGAATGCTGAAGAATGCTTGACAGGTCTGGCAGTATCTGTGGAGAGAGAGAAACAGAGTTAACATTCCAAGTCGGTGACCCTTCTTCAGAACTGAGGTTAGTAGTTGTAAGCATGAGATCAGAGTAAAACAGCTGTTACAGACACTAATCTGGAGTATGTCATCTCTGCATATCTCCATGATATAAAACGCAATACTAAGGTGTAGCAGTTTTAAAATGTGAACCATTGGGTCAATTACTTTAGGAGTGGATTATAATAATCTGGTGAAACAGGTGATGAAGACAGAAAGTTTCTGAAAAATAAGAAGAATTCTCAAAATAACAGCCCAGTTTTGTTCTTCAGATTAGAGTGTTACCAGCAACCAATCCAGTGACTGCCCGAATGTTAATACGCAGAGGGTAATCAATGCCTGACAATGTCTACATCAAGATATAGATGCCATATCAACACACTGAGACTAACCATGAGCTGACTCACTGTGTTCTGAATGCTAAACATCGTGGGATTTAAGCCAGCAGCGCAAGTTGGAGTGACATCTGACTTTTACTCATTTATGGGATGTTGGTGTCGCTGGCTGGGCCCAGCATTTATTGCCCTGTCCCTAGCTGCCCCTTGAGAAGGTGGTGGTGAGCTGCCTTCTTGAACTGCTGTAGTCCTGTAGTTTGACCCACAATGCCTTTAGGGAGGGAATTCCAGGATTTTGACCCAGCCACAGTGAAGGAACGGCAATATATTTCCAAGCCAGGATGGTGAGTGGCTCGGAGGGGAACTTGCAGGGGGTGGTGTTCCCATGTATCTGCTGCCCTTGTCCTTCCAGGTGGAAGTGGTCGTGGGTTTGGAAGGTGCTGTCTAAGGATCTTTGGTGAATTTCTGCAGTGCATCTTGTAGATAGTACACACTGCTGCTACTGAGCATCGGTGGTGGAGGGAGTGGATGCTTGTGGGTGTAGTGCCAATCAAGCGGGGGCTGCTTTGTCCTGGATGGTATTGATTTACTTGAGTGTTGTTGGAGCTGCACCCATCCAGGCAGGTGGGGAGTATTCCAACACACTCCTGACTTGTGCCTTGTAGATGGGGGGTAGGGTTTCGGATGACAGGAAGTGACACTCTTCAGGATTCCTAGCCTCTGACCTGCTCGGGCTCCCATAAATAAATCAAATGAACAACAACAACAAAAAGCTTTGAAAATCAAATATCCTTGCGTCGTCATATGGAGATAAGCCAGACACAGCTCATGGCCATGTGTTAGACCTCAAGGCCACACTGGGGTGTGATCACCCAATGATAGTCACTGACAAGCTGTGAGAAAGATGGTGGCAGGCCTCAAGAGGGCATGGATAGGCTAATAGAATGGGCAGGCAGGGGGCACATGAAATTTAATGCAGGGAAGGGTATGGTTATACATTTTGGGCAGACAGGTGAGGAGAAGCAACATAAAGGGAATGATTCTAATGGGGGGGGGTGGAAAAGCATGGGGGCAGTGGGTTGGCTGCTGGTGTACACATTGGAAACCTGGGACGGAGTCACAGACACGGGTTGGAACCAGTTGAGGGGCTTCGGGGCTGGGAGTTTACATATAGAATAATGGATATGTGGGAAACAGTAAGTCGGAATCTAATCAAGGGGTTTGTGGTGATGCAGTGGAGGTTATACATTAATGACCATATTATAAAATGTTAATAATAATTATTATTAATTATTAGTGATATATAAATAATATTTTATTAACCATATATTAATAAGATCATGAATAACCGGGGGTAAGTTATTGAATCAAGGGTTTCAAAAAGGGCATCAAACAATATGTAGAAAGTCTTGTGGTAATGCCCCTGCCTCTTGACTAGAAGGTCTTCATTCCAGTCTTATCCCAGGGTGTGGCAGCAATGAGGTAGAGGTTAACAGGTTGGTTTAAAAAAAATTAAAGCTTAGGACAGCATGTGACTTTGATCATTTCCAAAAGCTTAATCTAAAATTAGTAAAAGCAACAAGGTCACTCTGCTGTCTGTCTTCTTCCACAAGTCGAATATATTCCAACTGCTGATTGCCTGGGATCTGTTCCAGAAAGGTTGCTGAGCCGAGGCACAGAGAGATCATCTAGCTGGACCTCGAAGGACTGAGTTCTCACCCTCATCTTCCACCAAGACCACCAGCCCAGGTACTGAATATACGATTGTTCCTGAACTTTCCATTTATGGGTTTGTGCCTGACCAGTGCACATAACAGGCCTTTCCAAGTCTGCATGGCTCAGCTCTTGACGGGGCTGTGTCCTTGAAACAGGCCAGGGCTTCCTCCCTGTCATTATTAATGATGATTTATTGATGAATAAACTATCCGCCATTGCAGTCACAGGAATGCCAGATTCCTGACAAAGGGATGAAGAGATAACACAGTGTGGAGCTGGAGGAACACAGCAGGCCAGGCAGCATCAGAGGAGCAGGAAAGTTGTCATTTCGGGTCGGGACCCTTCTTCAGAAACTATTACCTCTGAGTGAGTTATATTCTTACTGTCTCTGAGTGAGTTATATTCTTACTATCTCTGAGTGAGTTATATTCTTACTGTCTCTGAGTGAGTTATATTCTTACTATCTCTGAGTGAGTTATATTCTTACTGTCTCTGAGTGAGTTATATTCTTACTATTGCTGAGTGAGATATATTCTTACTGTCTCTGAGTGGGTTATATTCTTACTGTCTCTGAGTGAGTTATAACCACACTTTGAAGCCTTTTCCTGCTCCTCTGATGCTGCCTGGCCTGCTGTGCTCCTCCAGCCCCACACTGTGTTATCTCTGACTCCAGCATCGACAGTTCCTACTAGCTCCAACTGAATGAAGAGGTCGAGTTTCTCTTCATGACCCTTTCCCTCTGACAGTTTGACTGAGCTGAGATTTCGGGGGATTCAGTGAATTGTGGAAGTGGGTAGATGTATGAGTTGGAATCTTGGACTGCGTTGGAGATGATTTTGCCTGGAATTGATAGATGCTGATAGAGTTGAGTGGGCTAGGTTTAAATTGCTCTACACCGAGTTGAAATGCTCTCAACAGGACACATACCCTTCGAGACAATAATGATGCAATGATTCCTGGTGAGATTTGAGGTTGAGGTAAAATTTTGGGATTTCTGCAAGGAGATTTCTAGTAGAGGGAGAAGGAGACAAGATTTCTGGTGGCTTTATAATTTGTGAGGGGTGACCCCACAAGCTCGCAACAAAAATGTCACTAATGATATGGGCTGCAGTGTCTAGGGAAAACCGAGACTCTCTGATTGACAGGGCTGAATCACTACCTGACAGCCAATGGCCTATAGACCACAGAATGAAATCAGGAGTTAGTCCCACCCCCAGAAATTTAAACAAACATCATTCCCAATTCCCAGGAAATACAGAGAAAAGCATCACTATCTGGTACTGGCGCGATTGCCTGAGGAAGAGAGAGAGAGAGACAGAGGAAGGGAAAGTCATGTAGACACAGAGTGAAGGGGAGCGTGGGGAAAGGTGAGAGATAGACAGAAGTGAAACAGAGAGAAAGGAAAAGAGAGAGACAGCAAGAAAAGTGTGTGTGTGTGAGAGAGAGAGAGAGAGAGAGTCAGACAGGGAAACATAGAGACAGAAAGTGAAAGACAGGCAAAAAAGGTAATTGGAAAGGGTGAGAGAAAGTGAGAAGAGAAGGTGTATTTATAATAATTACATGCCAGAAAAGAAGACGAATAGAATCAAAAGCCGGTGCAGAATTAAGTTAGGAGTCAGGAGACAGAGAGGGGGAGAAGAATTCTTTTTGCAATTGCTGGACATTGAGGGAGAAGAGCTGGCTGCAAAGAGACACTGAACAAAGCAGGGTTGTGTCCACTGTTGCCCAGCTGAGGTGAGGCTGGGATCCAGCTGCCCTGGGTCTATGCTGTTGCTGCTAGCTGCTCTCTCTGTGCCTTCAGATCCTGCTCAGTAACATCTCCTCAGCAGATCCCAGGGATTTTAGCAGTTGGAATATATTCCAGTGGGCTTCAACTTGTGGAAGGAGACTGAAGGTAGAGTGCCTTTATTGTTTTTATTAACTTTAGATTTATAAGGTTGGAAACCATCAAAATAGTGGCACTTTGTCATTCAACATTAGTCAAAGGGGCCCTGTTTAAATTGGGCTTCAAATGATGCAATGTTAAAGAGAAATGTCTACTGACCAAGGAATTAAATCAAAATGATTAGGATAATGAGAAGGAGACAAAACTAATCTCATAATAAGTCAGAAATACGATGGTGCTGTTAGCTCCAGGAACAGGGAATTCCATATTCCTGCTGTGAACACTGTTATGGCTGATACTGATTATTTTGAAAGGATTTTCATTTAGTGAAAGTAGTGGGCTCTAGCTGATTACTGTCAGATTCACACAGATACTGGACAGTTCTGACACTGGGATCTCTAAGTACAGTGTGACACTGGGTTTGCAAAAGTGTTCACACTATTTCTGACAAATCCAATAACAGAATGATAGCTCATCATTTTCAAACTTGGGCTAAATCAAGGAAGATTGTGAGCTGGATGGTATTGGGCTGATGTACAGGGTCTGTCACTGCTGGTGGGGAGCAATTTGAAGGGATGAACTAGAAGCAAGATGAGTGTTTTTGTATGACATGGAGATGAATGAGTTTAAGTGGGATTATTCTGTTGTTTAATACACTTAACCAAGTCACAGTGACAAGACTGCAAGGTGTAAAGAGTGGACCGTAACAACAGATTTGGGATATGGTCTATTAACAGCTTGAATAGCCCAGAAACATTGAAATAAGAATTCTTCAAAAGTGGTAACTGTAGCATCACCAGGAAACTTATTTATCCGAGCACATATATCGGACAGCCTTTATCTTGTAGCTGACTTGGGAGCTCCTATACTTGACTAAATTATATAAATGCTGTTGAGTGAATCTCGTGACACATGTATTCCTGTAATAGAGAAAAAAAGTTTGATAAAATGACGGGCATCCTGCCTCAGTGTCCCTTGCATTCAAGGCCACGTGCAATTGTATGGGTTACAGGGTCCTAGTGCCACCCCTGCATGATGTCCTCCAACATAGAGCCATAGAACATGGAAACAGACCCTTCGGTCCAACCGGTCCATGCCGACCATAATCCCAAACTAAACTGGTCCCACCCACCTGCTCCTAGCCCATATCCTGCCAAACCTTTCCTGGCCTTTCTTTAGTTATCACTTGGTCCTAATGTACATATAAATGCCTTGGGATTCTAACTTAATCCTATTTGCCAAGGACATTTCATGGCCCCTTCCAGCTTCTTAATTTTTTTTTAAGTACTTTCTGCTTCCTTTGTACTCCTCAAGGGCCTTGTTAGATTTCTCTTTCCTAAACCTTACACATGCTTCTTTATGCTTTTTAACTAAACATACAACATTTCCTGTCTTCCAAGCTTCCTGAATCTTGCCATCTTCATCTTACATCCTCACAGGAGCATGGTGGTCCATGTGCCAACTGGCTTTTAACAGAAACCCACATGTCAGATATGGATCACACCGGATTTTCTCTGTATTGGCTGCTGGATTTGGATCATCACTGAGACAGATGGCACTAACCATCAGGCAGGGTGCCTTGAGGCAGGAGGTCATGAGTTTTAGGTGGTTTCAAATGCAGGAAATGTCTGTGCAAGTGTAGTCGGGGCGGGGAACGGGTCATTTCAATCAGACAATAGGACCAGAGAAAGATGAATTAAATTAAGAACCCCTTTTACACACAAGGGTTTGAACTCTACTCCGCAAACTGCAATCGATGTTGTTGACTTTCTGTCTGAGATGGATACATCTTTTTTGTTCACCAAGATATTAAAGGACTATGAGGATGAAGTGGATATATAGAGTTGGACATCAGTCATAATCTCACGGAATAGCAGAATAGGCTGGGGATTGGAGAGCTGGATGGCTTCCTCCTGTTACAATATTCCTGTCTTCCTACGTCCTTGGCACCCTGAATACTGGGAAACCCATATAGCAGAGGAAGTCCATATATATCTCGGGCATCTAATGGATTCAGCAAGTATTCAGTATCATGGGGTCAATATATATGATAGACTTTTAACATATAAACCAGGCCTGTTGAGTGTACAACAAGCATACAGAAGTCCCCAACAGACAGGGCTTGAAAAATGCAATGATAGTGTCACTACCTCTGAGCCAGGACACTTGGGATCAAGTCCCACCTTCTTCAGAGGTAATAGCATCTCCCAACAGGTTGTTTAAAAATATCTACAGTATTCCTCCAGAAGGTAGAAGTCCAATTAAGAACATTCAGACCTTGTATTGGGAAATGAGCCTGGCCAGGTGATTGAAGTTTTGGTGGCAGAGCATTTTGGGACTAGTGATCATAATTCTGTAAGTTTTAAACATAGTTATGGAAACGGTAAGACTAGTCCTTGGGTGAAAGTGCTAAACTGGGGGAAGGTTAATTACAACAGCGTTATGCAGGAACTGGAAAAATTAGCAGCTGTTTGAAGGTAAATCCATATCTGACACACAGGATTCTTTCAAAAGCCACTTGGCACATGGACCACCATGTTCCTGTGAGGATGTAAGATACGGAGGCAAGATTCAGGAACCTTGGATGATGGGAAATGTTGTAAGTTTAGTTAAAAAGGAATGGAAGTATGTGTAAGGTTTAGGAAAGAGAAATCTAACAAGGCCCTTGAGGAGTATAAAGGAAGCAGAGAAGAACTTAAAAAAGAAATTAGGAGGCTAGAAGGGGCCATGAAATATCCTTGGTAAGTAGGATTAAGAAGAATCCCAAGGCATTTATATTATATTAGGAGCAAGAGATAACTAGGGAAAGGGTAGGTCCATTCAAGGACAAAGAGAGGAATTTATGAGTGGAGCCAGATCAGGTGACCGAGGTCCTTAATGAATACTTTGCATTGATTTTCACCAAGGAGAAAGACATGGATGGTGGTATGTTTAGAGAGGGGTTGACTGATACTTTAAGGCATGTCAACATTAAGAAGGAGAGAATGTTGGGGGTCTTGAAAATCATCAAGGCAGATAAGCCCTCAGGGCCGGGTGAGATCTAACCCAGGTTACTAAAGGAGACAAGGGAGGAGATGGCTGAGGTTTTGACAAAGATCTTTATATCCTCTTTAGCCATAGGAGAGTTCCCAGAAGACTGGAGAATAGCCAATGTTGTTCCTTTGTTAAAGAAGTGCAACAGGGATAATCCAGGAAATTATAGGCCTGTGAGCTTTACATCAATGGTTGGGAGACTTTAGAAAAGATTCTTAAGGACAGAATTTATTAGCGTTTGGAGAAGAATGGACATTAGGGATAGTCGGCATGGCTTTATGAAGGGAGGTCTTGTCTCACAAATCTGATTGAGCATTTTGAAAAAGTGACAAAGATGATTGATGAGGGCAGGGCAGTGGATGTTGTCTACATAGACTTTAATAAAGCATTTGACAAGATCCCTCATGATAGCTTGATCCAGATGATCAAATCGCGTGGAATCCATGGTGGGTTGGCAGGTTCAGTAGAAAATTGGCTTGGTCATAGAAAGGAGAGTAGTTGTGGAGGGGTGTTTTTCTGGCTGGAGCTCTGTGGCCAGTGGGGTTCCACAAGGATCAGTGCTGGGACCTCTGTTGTTTGTAATATATAATATAATTTAAATGATTTGGATAAAAAATGTCAATAGTCTGATTAGTAAATTTGAATTTGACATGAAAAATTGGTGGAGTTATGGATAGTAAGCAAGGTTGTCAAAGGATACAGCAGGATGGAGATCAGCTGGAAATTTGGGCAGAGAAATGGCAAATGGAGTTTAATCTGAACAAGTGTGAAGTGATGCATTTTGTGAGGTCAAATGCAAGAGGAAAGTGTACAGTAAAGGGCCAGATTCTTAGGAGCATTGATATTCAGAAGGAGCTTGGGGTGTAATTCCATAGCTCCCTGAAAGAGGCAAGTGGATAAGTGGTAGAGAAAGCGTATGGCATGCTTGCATTCCCTAGTTGAGGCGTTGAATATAAAAGTTAGCAAGTCATGTTGCAGCTGTATAAAACTTTAGTCAGGCCACACGTGGAGTATTCTGTGCAGTTCTGATTGTCACACTATAGGAAGGATGTGGAGGCTTTGGAGAGGGTGCAGAAGAGATTTACCAGGATGTTACCTGGATTGGAGTATATTAGCTCCAAGGAGAGGTTGGACAAACTTGGATTGTTTTCACTAGAGTGTCAGACACTGAGGGGGCGATCTGATATAAGTATATAAAATTATGAGAGAGATGGTTAAGGTGGATAGTCATCCCAGGGTGAAAATGTCAAATACCAGGGGGCATAGGTTTAAGGTGAGAGGGTGAAAGTTTAAAGGAGATGTGCAAGGAAAGTTTTTACACACAGGGTGGTAGGTGACTGGGACACGCCGCCAGGGAGGTGGTAAAAGCAGATAGGATAGCGCTGTTTAAGAGGCATTCAGACAGACACATGAACAGACAGGGAATAGAGGGATATAGACCATATAGGCAGGCAGATGTGATCAGTTTAGAATGGCATCATGGTCGGCACAGACATGTTGAGCTGAAGAGCCTGTTCCCATGCTGTACTGTCATGTATAAACTGGGAGAAAACCCTCAGAATAAACACAATACACTGAGAGTGGATGATTGAACAAAAATTCTGGGATGCGTTTGCAAAAGAAACGGAAACTTTGCACAACTGTTAATGCTGGATTATCATTCCCAGGGAATTCCGAGGAGCGAAAGGAATCCAAGATGGAAAATCCGCCCGGGCTGCTGACGCCCCCAACATTGATGGCGCTGTCATCTACAACAGGAAGTACCAGGGACACTACCACACTCTGCCAGCAGGCCCGAACCTTCACGGTGCCAGTCACTGTGGAAAAAACGGCCCAGGTTCCTTTCCTGAGCCCCACGTACACATTGGCACCCGTGTATCATCAAGCTGAGCGGTCCAATGTAGAGTACCCAGTCCCACTCCTACACCTGCACCCACAGTTTGGCATGCTAGGATACGGCGCCATTCAGTCCTTCCCGCCTTTTCAGGAGGTTGAGCGTTACCGGCCTGCGTACCTCCCCTCAAAGAGGCTGAAGCACCTTCCGAGTGTGGAGCCTCCACAAATCAGGTACCTTGCCTCAGACCGAGACTTCAAAAAGTACTGTGTTGACCTTTCCGCCAGCTCCCTAGCAACTGCAAAACATGACCCAGCAGGAGGGCCGGGGACCACCTCCAACTCTGATGTTGTGTGGAAGAACCCCCAGCAAGACAGCAATAAAAGTGAGCAAAGAGTATTCGCTGCTGTATTTGTAATTTGGTTTCAACAGAATCGAAGGTTAGGTTTGCGTGCTGTTAGAGATGCTGTACCCCATTTACCATGAGCCCTTGGCTGGGGCTGAAGGAAATGTTCTTTTATTTTGCAAAAATATACGTTAATCATAAAGAGGGAATTCTTTATGTACGTGCACTGTTACAGCACGGTGGCTCAGTGGTTAGCACTGCAGCCTCACAGCGCCAGGGACCCGGGTTTGATTCCACCCTCGGGTGACTGTCTGTGTGAAGTTTGCACATTCTCCCCGTGTTTGCGTGGGTTTCCTCCGGGTGCTCCGGTTTCCTCCCACAGTCCGAAGATGTGCAGGGTAGGTGGATTGGCCATGCTAAATTGCCCATAGTGTTCAGTGATGTGTAGATTAAGTGGGTTTTAGGGGGATGGGGCTGGGTGCAATGTCTGAGGGTCGGTGTGGACTTGTTGGGCCGAAGGGCCTGTTTCCATGCTATAGGGATTCTATGATCTAAGGCAGTTCAGATCTTTGCTGACAGAGAAGAAAACAAACAGTGCGGTTTGACTTTCTCGATAGTTACAACTAATTTAAATGCATTTCTTAATTATGCAATTAGGCACGAGGAACTACTTATATGTATCCAAGGCACTGGGAGGGTCCAATAAATGAATGGACCCTCGTTACCCTTCGGCAGGAAGACCCCAGACGGTGGTCTTTCCCCACAGTGTCCTGGTGGCAGCTGCCCCAAGCTTTAGTGCGTCCCTCAGCATGTAGTCCTGGACCTTGGAATGTGCCAGTCTGCAACACTCAGTAGGGGGTAAAGGCTTTCAACTGAAATACCAGCAAGTTTCGGGCAGACCAAAGAGCATCTTTCACCGAGCTGATGGTTTTCCCGGTGCAGTTGATGTTTGTCTGGGTGCGCGTCCTGGAGAACAGACCATAGAGCACGGAAGAATTGTTCAATTCAGTACATCCCATGGTCCATTTGCAATGTACCTCCCCATCAACCAGCTTGGCCTGCTCCACCTCCGTTCCTGACGTTAGCCAACTGAGTTAGATTGATCGAGTTGAGTATCACTTCCTCACCTTATTCTTGCTCTCTGAAAATGAAGATAGTCAATTGCTTTTTGGATGCTTCCATACAGCAAACATCTAACCCCCAACCCACACCCCAAACAAAAAGTGAATTTGAACCTTACGTTGTACCCTCTTGTGGGGACAATTGTCATTTGACAATGAGTCGCAGTGACATGATATGAACCCAGAGCTCGCCTATGAGGTGGGAGGTCAAGAGATGAAATATTCAATACTAGTTGACCACCCAATTCTGATGTGTCCCCTTCAGGGAAGTGAGCATCTGATTAGAATGCAGTGCTGAGGGAGTGATGCACTGTCAGTGGTGCTGCCTTGTAATGGGACCTTACACCAGGGATCCCCGCCATTGGACATTAAAGATCCTTTTGTGCTGTTTGAAGAAAACCTGAAGAGTTATTCAAGTATCCCTAGACTGTATTTATCCTTAACCAACATCACTAAAACATGTTATCTGGCCATTAAATCCACTTCGCTGGTTGTGTAATCTTGCTCTGCATAAATTGGTATCCCTGTTACCTACGTTACGACAGTGATTACATTTCAAAAGTACTTTATTACTCATTAAGGGACACCCTGGGGTCACAAAACAGTCAGAGTTATTGAGCTGTACTGCTTGGAAACAGACCCTTTGGTCCAACTTGTCCATGCCGACCAGATTTCCTAAATTAATCTAGTCCCATTTGGCCCATATCCTTTCAAACCCTTCCTATTCATGGACCCATCCAGATGCCTTTTAAATGTTGTAATTGTACCAGCCTCCACCACTTCCTCTGGCAGCTCCTTCCATACATGCAGCACTCTCTTTGTGAAAAAAATTACCCCTTAGGTCCCTTTTAAATCTTTCCCCTTTCACCTTAATGATGCTATATAAATGTAAGTATGCTTTCTTTAGCCATCCAACTCTTGATGGCACCCATGAATGTGGTGAAATTGGTTACCTGAATGTTAATCATCTGTTAATCATTTTTTAATCTGGATTTGTCAATATTTCCACGCATTTATATACATTTAAATGCACATTCCAACTGCTTTTGTGAAAGAGAAAGGGTTTTGGAAGGTTTGGGTAGTCAGTCTAGGCTTCCTGTTTGATTTTCCTCACAACGTTGAGATTTTCAGCAGGGGACTGAAGAGCTGGGATTTTGAAATGAAATGAAAGAGTTAAGAAATATTCATGGCAGTGACAGAAAGGATACGCTTAGCCTCATCGCTGTGTCAGACCAACAGGCGAGATCCTCATCATTAAAATTCTTTTGTCCTGTCCGGATCGGACACAGATTGTGTTAAGTGTGAAATGAGGCCCCGTTTTGTTGGGGGTGGATTGTTCTCATGTAACTCTGTGATGTTGTTAATTGGCTGTGAGAGTAGTGACTGACTGGGTTCCTGTTGGTCCGTGGGTTGCCTTTATTTAAGATGCAGGCTCCATATCGAAGGGCTGGGCCCATGCGGATGATTGCTGTTGAAGAAGGACTGACTCTCAAGCTGCTGATGCAACTTGTCTAATTTCCAGACCCCACAACCTCTGCTTTTATTTCCGAAACTCTTGGCTGTGAAGCGAAATTTGCAACTGGAGTCTCACCAATTGAAGTCCATGACATACGAGGTGGTTTACTAAATCTAAATTACCATCACTTGTTTTTTAAAATTCAGTTGTAGGATTGGCCTGTCAGAGTTAAAAGTAATTTGCAGTTTACTCGCAGTTACAATTCGCACAGGAAAGCACTGCTTTATAGATATTTGAATAAGCCGTCTGTTAAAGAGAGATAGTAGGAACTGCAGATGCTGGAGAATCTGAGATAACAAGGTGTAGAGCTGGATGAACACAGCAGGCCA